AACTTCACCAGAAGGTTTGCGCAGAAGCACTGACTATAAATGAGTTGGTAGGTAGCAGCGTCTCCCTTGACAATTGCCTCTTTCTGGCCATCATCGAGTTGGAGCAAGGGCCAGGTGTGAGTGGGGCCAGTCTTGCAAGCATTCGCCAGCGAGCTCCCATGATTGTCGGAACAAAAGTAACTAGCAGCGCCCCATCCAACGATCATAGAAACTGAAGCCCCTGTCCACTTCCCTCATTGGTGGAAAACGTTTCGAAGCCGAAACGAAGCCGCACCTTGCGTTGGGCTCCCACATCGGGCCATTCGTGTGACCTGGCAATTGGCACGAGGGCGGCAGCCGATTACAAGCCGTCCCCAGAAACATGCATTGACTAGGTCCTCCAGTAGAGAGGTTGGAATAGACACTACTTGGGGACTAGTTGATTGCTGTCTATCTCGCCTTTGCTTTTGCTCCAACTACTGACATGAACAGTTTCAAAGCCACAACCACATGGCGGGCCAAAGGGAACAACCTCAGTTTGTCACTTTCACAACCCCCCGCGCCCTCTGAAAGTCAGCATTTGGAATGGCAACCTGCAACCACCTTCTGGTCCACGAAAAGCGACGCTGCTTGGAAAACGGTGCAAACATAGCTGAACACAATCCATGGGGTAGCAATCAGAGAAAGCCGGCGATTCAGCAAGATAGCCGGATATCTTATTGCTCGGATGCAAAGAATACACTCTTGAATCAAACCTATCACAGGAGCCTGCCCAACCAATCTAAAGAATCACAAGAGCTGTTCTTGCGGCATCTCTCTTGGCACGGGGCCCTTATATCTTTCCGGTTGGGTGAGGAAAACCCACCGAACCAAACGGCCAGTCGCTTGCCCTCTCCCATTCCCCAAGCTCATCGAATCTCTTCACGCCTGCAATGACCAGGCCCTTCTGAACCACCACACAGCCCATGCTGCCAGATCTGCACAACGAATTGCCTCAAACGTTCTCAACATGCAGCATCCGGAGTCTGGGCGATTGAGCTTCTGCCGTGCCCTTTAGCATGTTGTGAGAGACACACCTTTAAGCCACCATTTAGAGGGCAACTCTGGGGATATAACTTAAGTGGACCCATGCACCATCTGCAGGTTTGCAAGTATGATCTTTCGTGAGCCCGGAAGTATTCTTGAACAGGAACACTTAGATGAATTGTAATACTAATTCACTTGATTATTTTTCTATGTATATATATATACATATATATATATATATGTATATATATGTATATAATATATATATATATATGTATATATATATATATATATATATATCCGCCGACCCCTTGTCCGCAAGGGCGAGGCACCCGGGAAGTGTGTTCTTGTGAGCGTGGGCATCAAGCTTCTCATGGCATCAGGCGTTTGACTACCTACAATCGAGCGGTCCTGTGGAGATGCAAAAATGTTGGGATGCTATGACGATTTTGTGCATAGGATTTGGAGCCCTTCGTATTGTATTGCTATTTTGAGCTAATGGGCTCAACACACCGCAAGCAGCCTGAAACGGTCTGTGGAATGCTCCCTATGCCAGACTCAAGCCTTAGCTTGCTCCCTCAGCAACCTGCCATCTGAAGGCGCATTTTGGCAGCCTGGATCCAGGTGGCACAGCCACGAAAACCGAATATGTCTTTTGGCTAGTGTCTTAATCCTCCAATTCCGTCATTAACTGCTGTGCAACATCAACTGATTCATCTTATGTAGACACAAATTTACAAATCTCCACTGAGTCCACACATCCGCTCAAAGGCATGACTGCGTGCGAGCCGCGCGCCAGCAGCAAGGCCAAGTCTAAGCCTCGAAGGAAGGGGGGGCCAGTTTCTTCCACCCTCCAAATCGCGGTGAAATTGAGGTCAAAACAGGCTCATCCGAACAACTCTTAAAAGGGGGCCAAAACTCCAGGGTGTATCTTTGGCGTGGATACTAGTTACCAAGAAACCTTATTCACCTGCCCAAACCTCTAACCTTTATTGTCCATTTTTGGCAGCATGCTGATTTATGTAGATTCTGAGCATATGTGCATGATGATGATGATGATGATGATGATGATGGAACGATTAACTTGACAGCCATCGAACACTGATCATGAATTAGCATGGTGCCAGCATGATTCTCCAGCCCTGGTCACACCATCAGATCAGAGCTGCACATCAGCCAGGAACTGTACCAAAATGTTGATCTCCAAGGTAGATTGGAAGTGAAGCTTTCAACTGCACATCATGATAGACATCGGAAACTCCAAATGCCCCTGCTCAACCAGTAGTTGACCTATTCCTCTGGCCCAATTACCAAACAACAAACACAAAACAAAGCGAGCACGGTTGCGTGCATGGGGGCTCTACAATATATACATCTATTTATATATATATACATATGGAACATATTGTGCTTGTTTGTCACATGGTCCCCAAGCAAAAACCTCGAGCTTTTCCGAACTGAAAAAAACAAAAAACTCGTTGGATCACCGACATGGCCACGGCCCCTTGCATTAGGGCGCTCATAGAGTCCATAGTTCGAGGGCAGGCTTACTGTGGATGAACGAAATCCTGCACCACTTTGAAATCATGGGGAAGCCGCTTTTTGTTGGTATTTACAGGGAAATCATCAATTCAGGGGTTTCTTACGTGGTGCAGGATTTTGTCCATCCACAGTATGGCCAGGCCAGCGCTCAATTTCGCGATGAGAAGGAAGCCTCTGAAATCAGTGATACGTCATCCACAAGATGGCAGTCATTATCCTCTGGCCAGACTTACCCATCTGGGTTGCATGTCACCAGCCTAGGCTAGTGAGAAACATCAATGCGGCCACGCCGCATGTCCAAAGAAGGAGAGACGAGAAATAATCATGGCTGGAGCTGTCAACATGCAGTCGCACCTTGGAGGACGTAAAACTTCCCCCCCATTTCATATGCATTCGATCCCATAAACGTCGTTCCCGCTGGTGCGTAGCATCAACACACCTGCTTCTCAATCAGCCCTCATGCCACATTCGAGGGTCCACTGTTGAAGAACACAAACTGTAAATAACAGAAACAAGCAGAGGCAATTTTGAGCGGTTAACCGCTACTTTGAGCGTTTTGAAGATTTGCAGCCGCGGCGCCATTCTCATCGCTACTCATGTCCGGCAGCGACTCCCAGTTGAACATGTCCATGCCCTGCGGTGTGGCAGGACATGAGCACAAAACGGCGGGTGGAAATGGACGAGGGCGAAACGAGATGATAGATTGGGTCAAGTAAGAGATTGGCTACGCCCTGAATCAAGCCTCTGATCGACAAATGCAGGGGAAAAGCAACAAAACGGCCAATAGACTTGTAAGAACCCCTTCATACCGGAAGGCAGATATATACTCCTATCTTCAACTGCTGGACTTCAGGATATGTCTAATATGTGTGCCTGTGTATACATTATATATATATATATATACACATGCGTATATACGTAGCGACGCATCGATCACATCTTCACACACACACACCAAACCTGCAAAGCATCCCAACAGGAGCCCCCTTGGCAGTGGAAGCCGAAGTCCCGTCCTCCGGCAAGGCATCTGGCGCAATACCCAGTGCCGGCTCCGCCATCGGCGTCCGTCGGCCGCGGATTTGCAGCAAGCCACCCACGTGGCCAACCAACTAAGTGGACCAACCACTTAGCCAACCAATTCACGGGCCAATTCTAGAACGACCATGTTCAGGCAAGCATTGGGCGCTTGAGCATTCAACGGGTCACCCCTGTAAGTGGTTGTACTGAAAAGGGGAAAGTACTCTTGTTCTTTGATACCGAGGGGCAACCCGCCAAGAGTCAAGCATCTTAAGATAGACCAAAGAGCCATGGGGCCATGAATCTAGTGCAACAGGTGCTATGTGGCAATCTTAAGAGAATCAAAGCTTCTTTCGTCTGCGGCTGGCTGTCTGTGGCGGCCCAGAATCTCTTTCCCGGGCCAGACTTAGACCCTCTGCAGCAAGCGGAATCTCTTGCTGGCTGAAAGGGGAATGCGGAAGACCAAAAAGGGGAAAAGTCGAAAAGGCAAGCTAAGTCTGGCGGTGTTTCATTTGCCTCAACAAACCTGTGCCCAGTATGGCCCACGTGGATGTATCAACCTCATAGCCTTAGATCAACGACTCCTCCCCATTTTTCAACACCCGAAGTTCAGAATCCGTAAACCTCAACATAGGTCATCCACTCTCGAGCCAATGGCGGAGCAGCCACTGTCTGGCTGAATTTGACCCGCGGGCGGTCGCAGGCTTGCTACGAGGCAAGCCGGGACAACAGATCGCAAAAACCAGAGGTGCGTACCTGCCGGGATGAATCAACTCTAACTCTAGAAAAGAAAGTGTGAATGGATCCGGGTAAAACAATGCAAACACCGATGAACACGAAAGGTCCTCTTTTGCTGAAATATTATTTGTGAAGAGTTAGTCTGCCGAGCTGTGCCCGTGATCCTTTTTAAAGACACGATCCACAGAACCGTGCTTGGTCTACAGAACACATGCGGGTTTGTCTGCCTCAAAAGGATCAAAATACGGGAACCCCCCCCCAAGAAGGCCGCTTTCCTGTTGGTTTCCTTCAAAACCACTGCCAAAAAGGTATCCTGAAAAAGGACACACCCATGTATGTATGCATATATTTATGTTTGTTGATCAGGTAGATTGAATCGAGCAAGGCAGGCAAGGGGGATACCACTTGATCCGAAAATGCCAGCCCCACGTATTTCTCAAGAGGGCTCATAGTAAAGTCAGGTGCCATGCCTGGAGCCCAGGAAAACCAGGGGTTCGGGCCCATAAGACCTTGCCGCAGTGGAAACGAACGCGGATCCGGCCGAAAAGGGGGGAAAATGCTTGGAGCCAAGGTAAAAGAACGGATCCTGCAACAGGGTGGGTGGACAAACAAAAAGGCCCGTCCAAATTCCGGCCCCATTTTGGCCAAGCCTTTCCGGCCAGCAACCCCGTCGGCCAGAAACTCTCACAAGCCCCTGCCTTCGCAACCATCAGCTTCGCCGGAGCGCTCCTTCGCCGGACCGCAACGTGGCCAACACGGTCTCATGCCAAACTTCTTGCCGGGGCAAACTCGTCTCCTCAACATCATGGAAAATCGCAACACATCCTTGTGTAGAGGGGACGTCTCAAAATGACGGGCGCAGCTTTGGGCTCTGTCTCTATCTTCAAGTGCGGGTCATTCAAGCAACTCGTTTGCGCGCAAGAAAGCAAAGCTTGCACCAACCATGGTTTGTTTCAACAAAGGAAGCTTCGCTGAGGGGATGCCAAGCAACTCTAACAGCAGAGCATTGGTTCAGCGCGGTTGAAGCTGGTATTGCTATGAATGGGCCTTCCATCAATTAAACGAGACTGCAAAGACTACCAGTGCCATCTCCTTGTCACAGGCTATACTGTTAGATCTCATTATTGCACGGGAGTCACACCTTCACCGGCAGATTGCGTTACTTTGCGTCGTGGGCATTGTCTAAATCAAGCGCATGGAGGAAAGCACCTTGATTGGATGGCCACCGTCAAACTGGACATGCAGGACATTGCACTGACGCACGATTCTGCGCTCTTGTAGCGTGTTGCAACTTGCCTGGTTCCCAGGCACACCGCTATTCAGCATTCTGGGAATCGCCCACTGCGATTCGTGAATGGAGCTGACAGCATCTCTAGACTGGAACCTCCCCTCCCGATGTCGTTGAATTCTCTCGGGTTCCAGGAGGCGATCAGGGCGGGGAATTTTGGCTCAGCTCCCAACAGGATTCGAGGGCTCGAAGACTTTTGGTAGCAGTGGTCATGTTTCAGGCCCCTTGACTTTGTGAGGCAGCCGTCTTGTCTGACCAAAGGCCGTTGAGAGAGGAGTAAAAGATACAATGTCAGATCACCAGGCGCAGGCATGAACGTTCTGCCCAATTGCAGCGGTGCGTTTGTCTTTTCAAGTCACTTTCTTGAACCGTTTGCCGCAGGCTCTCGGACGAATCTGCGATGCAATCCCAGTGCGTGGCAAATGCAAGCCCTCCAAGACACATGATCTGCCGTGTTTCACATGCTTGACTGAGTAAGCAACAAAAACACCCATCCATCTAAAAGCTTCCCTGGTATCCTTGAAATTGTATGCACATATACATGCATACATGTATTCAAACATATACTTCAATACACATATTTTAGTATATGAGTGTAACGCATATACCGTATATGTACGTACATTAACACACATAACACATGACACCTCAAACATGACACATAACACAAAACACATGTATCACGTATATGATATACGAACATGTACATTAAAGAAAACATGCTGTTGACACACAGCAACGCCACGAGTTCGCGAGCGACCTCGGCTCACCGACCGGTCCTAGGCGTCCAGTCCTGAGACCGGGGCTCGGCTCTCGTCTGTGCCTTGGGTTTCCTTTTTCGGAGGTCGGAGACCTGAGGAAACCAACCCAGAGGAAACCGCGCAGGGACCCAAAGGGTCTTCCTAAATTTGGAGGACACCTCATGAAGATCTCCCCAGCTGAAAGGTTTGGAGGTAGGCGGCTCCGGAGTGGCTTGGATTGTGGGGGATACTTGGGCTCAGGTTGGCAGATTCCGGGAGGGACAAGAAAAGTTGGATAACTCATCGATCCAGACTTTGAAAGAGAGAAAACCGCTCGCGTCTTTGACCAAGATTAGAGCAAACCAAATAAGCATATCATGGGTGCGTGGCAAAATCGGAGGACCGCCGAGATTTTGGTTTCCCTTACGGTTCAAGGGCATATCCCAAGGAGTGTATATTGTATTGGGTAACATCCGACGGTAGCTACAAAGTTAAACAGGGGCTGCGGGGTGGCAAACACGCAGTCATATAAAACTCATGCAACATTTCTTCCATCAACAATAGCCACAGGCTGAGCATCACAGCTTTCCAGCGTTGCAGTACTCTTGTAAGAGGCAAAATTAGTGAATGCAAAGCAGAGTAACAAGTAAGTAGGGCAGAACATGGCATGGCGAGGAAAACTGCTGAAAAGCCAAGAAACGCGGCGTACGTGCACGAAAGGAGTCTTGAACGCAGCACAAAAATAAGCATTGCAGCCCTGCGCAGTCGACACCCAACACTAGCCAAAATCTGGCAGGGCCGATGAAGCGGGGCAGTAGTTAACAAAATGTTAAAACATGTTAAACTAGCGTTGTTAGTGGCTCGAATTGTGGATTTGGTGGCCCTGCCCGGATTTGGGGTGTCTCGACAGTAGTGTTGACTTTGTGTTGACTGACTGCAGTGTTGATTGATTGTTGTCTGTCGCACCAGTACAGCAGGCAGCCACATAAAGCAACACAACAACAAGTCTTTTTGAATAGGATCCATGCCAACTTGCCCCGCACCCGCGGTGCTCAGCTTGGCCAAGTTGGGTTGGGTCATGCAAGATTTATGTCATTAGCTACCTAAAAACGTTTTTGCCCGTCGCAGCGCAATGTTAAGCAAGGGGTGCGGGGTGGCTAACACCCAGTCTTACAAAGCTCATGCAATACTTCTTCCATCAACAGTATGTCGCCAGAGCCATGGGGATCGCAGTCCTGGGAAACGGCCAACTCTTAAAAGAATCCGCCGCCTGAACCCAGTTGTGCAATCCGTGCAAGCAACTGTCAAGTGACAGATTCCAGTGTATGCTATGGCAACCGCAAACGAGGAACACTTAAGGGATTCGACCCGCCCCCGCCCACGGACTTTTGCCTTGAGCCAAATGTAAGGATGCAAACAGTTCAGGCTAGGAATGGAAACCTATATGGCACTGCGATTCCGGGGCACATGATCACACTGTAGAGTATGGTCCAAATGACCATTTGAGTTGATGTTATTCTTCTCCCCCCTCTCTACATGTAGATCAGTGCGATTACACTGCCAGTGGGCCTGAGCTGCCAGCCGTATGCTGGGTTCGTGCAAAATTTCTTGGTGGCAACTGTCAATGCGTCCAAAGCAGTCACAACCACTGATGTTGTTGTAGGCTGACGCATCATGACGTGCCTTCGCCTTGTCTGCGATTAAGGTGATCACAAGTGTTAGCAGCTAGCATGCATTCACAAGTAACCCCCCTGGTCTGATGTCCGGTGGGTGCGACACAAGCGGGCGAACACACGAAGTTATCCTCACAAGTGTCTTTTCGCACACGGTTTGGATCGCGCCTAACGGCAGCGGTTGACGATCGTTTCAAGTTCAACAAGATGCTGAGTCCGATCAAGTCCTGTGCTTTTGCGCACGGATTCAAGATGGCCTACAAGCATACAAGCCAAACCTACTGTGGTTTTTGATCCTGCTGCAGCTTGAAACCGGCCATGGAACGCCTCACGGTCTCGGGCACGGATGTGGTCATGCCGAGCAACCTGAGAGCATTTTGCCAGCCCTGCTGCTCAACTGCTTTCGTGAACACGTCTGCGATCTGGTCAACAGATGTTACATGTTTCAGGGTACGGTCCGGAGATGCAACCACGTCACACAAGGAACCTACGGGTTATGTGTCTCAACTTTTGGCTGAACCCTGAGCGTACAATCCTCTCGGTCGCCTCGTTGTCCTCGTAGATGATAGTGTGAATTTCTCTCTGAAGGACCATGCCCCACAACACTTCCATGGGAAGTGCCTCTGAGAACACACCAAAGGCCATGGCAATGACCTCTGCCTCTGTTGTTGACCGAGAGACTGCTGTTTGTTTCTTGGATGCCCAGCTAAGGGGCCACACAGAGTTTGGTCCACGCAACTGCAGCCATGCGCCACTGGTTGAATGAGCGCAATCAGGGCTGCCTGAGAAGTCCGAATCTGTGTATATCTCCAGCCACAAGTCCTCCGGCGAGTCATTTATGTACCCGACCAGAGTGTAGTCTGTGGATTGTGACACGTACGCCATGAGCCTATGCAACATGCGATCACATGCTTTACTCCACTTACTGACAAGTGTGGCAAGATGAGTGATTGCCCTTAGCACATCTGGGCGGCCTAGCCGGGCCCCCCACAGGAGTTTCATGAGAACTGCACATGCGTGCTCCTCGAGCTGGCCTTTCTCCTCCCATTCTTCTGGAAGGATTGATCCCTTTGGAAGGAATGGAGTTGGAGCTCCCTTAATGGTCTCTGCACCACTGAGTTTCAAGTACATTTCAACAGCAGATTTCATGTATTCCCTTACGTTAAAGGCAATACCCTCTCTACCATTTACTCTGACAAGTTCGTGGTGTCTACCAAGGAACCTTCCCAAATCACCGATATCCTCGATCTCGATAACCTTCCCCAATTCTTCCCAAAAGGGGGTGTGTGAAGCGATGCTTCCTGAGAGCAGCAAATCATCAACATAAACAGTCAACAAGAGGTTTCGTTCCTTGAAGGAAAATGTTGAAGGATGCCCATCCACAGGCTGGCCCCCTAGCTTCACGACGGCCCGTTCGAGATATCGAGCCCAGTGTGCGCCCGACTCCGGATGCCCGTAAAGGCTTTTGCGTAGCCTTATCAATGGCTTCTTGTACTTACCTTTCCAAGATTCCGGCCATAATTCCCAAGGCAAACGCACCCATGTTTCACGCAAACTTCCTAACGGAGCTTGCACATATGCTTTCACAACGTCGGCGCTAGTCGTAGTGCTGCCGGGGAGCTGCCCAAAGGCTATCACAGCGTTAGCGGCTGTGATAGTAGCCGGGGACGCTGACAGACTCTGATATATGGCGAGAGCGCCATTCTGGTCTTTAGCATTGTCTCCTCTGTACACTATCCTCCCTTTTAGCTGATGATACTCTTTTGGCAGCTCATCGTATTTACGACTGCATATGGACATTATGTCTGCAATATGCACAGTTTTGCCGGCTAGCTTGGCATTGCGCACGATGTTGGAATGCTCATCGACCGAGTCGAGATCCCACGTGTCTTTGCCGGTTAAGCCGTCAAATTCCTCCCTGACTTTTGCCACGGCTTTAGGATCTTTTATCCATTCCTTTCTATCTAGCAATTTTGTTACGAGTGCATACAAGTCCAACTCAAGTGAGTCCTCGTCACCAGATGGATCCTGCGTCGCAATCGCAGCAGCCTTGCTGGAAGATGCCTCCGCTGAAGGCGGAATGTATCCTGGATCCCCTGGCCCTTCAGATCTGGGATCGTAGCCAGGATCACCTTCCTTGATCCGAGGCTTTGGCGTGGATGGCGCAGGAACAAATCCTGGCGTTGGTGGCACAGGCACAGGAGTTTCTGGCACAGGTGCGTCTGATGACGCCTCCGGTTTGGTCTCCGCCGGCGAGCTCTTGGGATATAGCTTATCAAAGCGGTCCCTGCACTCTTGTGAGTGGCGAGTGGTGCCATTGTCACAACCTGAGCAACCTTTGGTAAATCCATGCTCTATAAGCCTACCGAAAGTGATGTACGAGTGTCTGGCTTTTCCCCCATCCTTTCCTGAGTACGGTACCGCATCAATGGCAACTTCATACGGAAGTACCCCCCTTTCAAGTGATCTGTCAAACTCCGCTTTCCTAAGCTCATGCATTTGATCAGTAACATCAAGAAGGGATTTTTGTGCAGCACGTTGTAATGGGTATTCAATGTACTCAACAGGTGGAAAGTAAACCTCTTTCTGATGCACATCCTTTGGAACCCAATACTTATGAGACAGTTGCCTAAGAGCTTCGTAGTCTAGAACTTGCACTACGTCCCTATGTCTAAGGCCTGGCTCCATCTTCCATCCCGCAAAAATGGCAGGGCGTGTGGTTGGCGCTGCCATGCCATCACTGCTCTTAGCATGATAAAAGACAAGTGCCCCCAAGGGGTAGAGGGTTCCATTGAAGGGTTTCCCCGTGGCAACCTCCCATTTACTCTTGCCCTTCTTGGCTTCCTCCGCAGGCCCACCTACCTCATGGGGGTAGATGGGAGCATTTTCACAAAACGACCGAACCTTTGCCGTGTATGCCAGAGACACTGGCCACAGCTTTCTCCAGAACCCGGCCTGCAAGTGAGATGGTCTACAAGCCTCCTTCAGGGAGCGGATGTCCCTCTCACACGATGCATTGTGCGGCCAAGCCCTTGTCAACGATGGATCAACAGTCCGACACAAGCGGTGCGCGGCATTTGTGAGCTCACCGGCGGTGTCTGACTTGAACACCGTGTCTGTGGCTCCGTTCAAAGCAGCTCCTGCAAAGTGCTTCATTGACAAGTAATTGGATTCTTCTGAGCGGTCTAATTGTGGGTATGCTATGGACACACCTGAGTAATGGTCCCTTATTAGAAGCGCATTTTGCTCGCCTCCCATCCCTGCATGTTCCGCAGAAACAATAATGTTGTCTGCTTGTATGAGTCTGCCAAAGGATTCTGGATGCTTGTACTCTGCTGGTTCATCATCGTCTGGGCGATGCGAATGTTTGTACTTGTTTAGCATCCTACCTCTCAAGCAGTGCTCACATT